AGCTACAGCTTACAGTTCACAATGTTTGTTCTCACACTGTGCAGCACGACGCTCTGATGCGATTTACCTGCTCACACTGTACGTCTAAAAACCATGTGGGACTCAGCTCCGCAGTGAGATGGCGCTGCTTGGACTCGTCTATCTGGAAGCCAAACCAGTAAAGGAGGAATATGAACCTGACTAGAGTTAAACGCGCTGCCTTGGCTATTTTGTGCTGAAAGCCCTAAAAAGAAAAGGCGGCAACGTAATTGGACAAAGACATGGCTGAGCAAAAGTGGCTACTACGGTCTGTCAATTCTACAGAAAGAACTGCATTTCATGTTTGATTTTCTCCCAACTTCACGATACCTGGTCAGGAATTTGTAGTGAGAGGCTGATTGCCCCACGTTACCCTCTGTATACTACACGATGTACGATGTATGATTAGGCTGACGCACAACTGGAAATTCAGTCCGAAAAGGGCAAAAAAATCGCAGTGTAAGCCCAGCTTAAACACAAACATGGCTTTATGTTTGGTCCATTCTATAAAACCTTGAACTCAACACTATTTCTGACATTTAAATTGAAAAAGCTTCCTGGAAGGGAAGCGAAACATCTTCAAACTTCGAAACGTCCAGTCGATTGTTTTAGCATTTTTTGGAACAGCAGGATACGTTTACGATCGCCTCACGAGGGCAGGATTTGATTTTCATCCATCCGTACGATTCCCGATCAGGAGGTGATCTTCAGAGGCTAATCGCCCCTCTTTACCCCATGGATTCTACACGATGAGGCTGAAACTCGACCCAAAAAAATTCTTGCACTGCTATAAGAATCTTCCCCGAAATGCCCGACTTAACTTGTAGGGTCAAGAAATAATTTAAATTGACCTGTCGGACAACAACACATCATGCTCTGATATGAAAAAATAAAAACATTAAGAACAGTCTGAAAAGTATTACTTAGTCATATGGCTGAGATGTTTAAAAAAAAAGATTTGCCTTGAGTATCGACAGAATAAACTAAAGTACCAGCTGAGGTTCTTCATTGTACTGTAAGGGAGATGGGTTCGGTTTTTAAGTTTTGCAGTATTTTAAAGGCTAACTAAGCTGACAGGCATGTCTATTCAATGAGGATCCTGAGAAAGGTTAGCTTGGCTGTCTTTATGACTGCAGATTGTAAGCATATTTTAAGTTACAAGTGTAAGATTTATTTTGATCCCCTCAGAGTATTAGATTTTAGTCTCTCTTCATCATCCTCTAATACACGTTGAACTTACTAGATGATTCCCTGAAACTCCTCTTCACCTTTCCTCCCATCATCATCTTCCAGAAACATCTTCCCCCATCCTTCTTTGGCACATACAGCTGCCACAATGGTGATTGATCTGCTGTGGAGGCTGTCGTGGGCCCTCCTTTTCCTCTTCCTCCTCCTCCAGTGGTTATGAACATGAGGCGGGCTGCTCCTCATAGATTTTTAAATTAGTGTCAGCTTTGCCCCAAAGATGTGTTATTGACTGATGAAATAGAAACTGAGCTCCAAACACTCAGTCCTTCCCCAGAGTTTTCCCCAGCCTGGTAATTGAAAAAAGTGTGAAAAGAGTGTGTGTTCGAAGCAAAAAGTGCAACCCTGCGGTGTGTGTTTGTGTTGCTTGCAACTGTGGGCTCTTTATCTCTGCTGGAGAAAAATGCTCCACGCTCGCTGGAGTCGAGATTCGATTGAAGTATTGCATAGGAGATCTTTATCAATCTGCACAATCCCCTGAAACATTAGAATTGTGTACAACTTTAATCCTATAAATACAGTATGCAGCACATAAGCCTTTGAGGGAACAGTTAATAAAATGTAATGTGTCAGAGCCCCTGTGTTGTTGTGTATACTGTCACATTATTCACTGTGAGCAGAGTGTAAGGCTTGTGTGATTTATTCATGAGCACTATTTAAAATATTCACTCTCATGTATTACATATCATATGTGCTGCAGAGATCATTACAACAGAAGATGTGGCATTAATGAACAAGTGTAAATACTCCAGGATTCACACCTATATCTGAGGTGATGAGCAGCTTGATTTATGCAGCTCTCACCTGAATACTTGTAGTAATTACCAACATAACCATCCATTTTCGTATACGCTTTATCCTTGCTGGGTTGGCGAGGGCTGCTGGTGCCTATCTCCAGCTGTCTATGGGTGAGAGGCGAGGTCCACCCTGGACAGGTCACCACACTCACGCCTAAGGGGAATTTAGAGCAGCCAATTACCTAACAGTCATGTTTTTGGACTGTGGGAGGAAGCCGGAGTACCCGGAGAGAACCCATTTATGTTCAGGGAGAACATGCAAACTCCATGCAGAAAGACCCCGGGGCAAGAATCAAACCCGGAACCTTCTTGCTGCAGGGCAGCAGTGCTACCCTCTGAGGCACTGCCCCATTTAACAACATACCTTTATTTCAATTGCAGTTAAACAAGCATGCATTGGAAACGTAACTATCATAGCTAGTTTTATGCAATAAATTCTGACTTTTTCTTATGAGAAAAACGCCTACCCTTTAAAAATTGCTAAATGCTATTTAGGGCAAAATAAACGTCCTTTGTCTTTAAATTATCTGGTCATTATCAGGCTAATTCTAGAAATCATTTAATTTCACATCAGGGGCACAAAATCTAACTCAGGGATTTCCTTTGTTTCTTGTAAATAGTTAGAAGGATGAAAACAGTCTTGCAACTGGGTTCTCTTTAACATTACTGTTGTAGAAAATGTCATTTTTCTATAAATATGTAATTTTACAATTTACAACAATTTATAATGTCTGACATAATTTGAAGATGAACTGTTGAGACATTTGTTTTTCCAGGAGTTAATAAATGAATGAAATTAATCTTACAGTAACATTAAATGTGAGCATGCTAGGATTTAAAGGTTAGCATTCCAGGCTGGTCTGTAGTGTAGTGCTAGCATAAACATGCTAAACTGTTAGCAGGCCTGAGCTGATAGTTTTACCGTTGCTGTACTATACCATGCTAATTGTCACTACCCGATGCGTACCATCGGCTCATTTGGGCATGCTTTACCAAATTTACCTCCTCTAAAAATAAAAAGCGTACTAAAATATGTGTTAAATGGTAATAATGTCTTTCCTAAGAAAATAAATGTATTAAAATCCTTTCTGTTTTATCACGGGTCTGTGCCCGATCTGTTGGGAAATGGGGTCCTGCGCTACTTCTGAGAGCTAACTTTTTCGGCTTTTGGATTTAAACATAAATCTTGTCTTTTTTAGATTTACTTTTTCCTTTCGTATTAACGTTATGGTATGAAGTACATAATCTAAATATAGAAACGACTAAAGTGCTGATAAACATGGTTTAATCATATTTTGCCGGACAACTCTGAGCATGTCTGATGACAGACAAGCCGAAAACCATCACATTTTCTCAGAAAGCATTTAGTATTTAGTGATTTAAGGATATAAATAAGTACTTTTAGTACCATGATTACATTATTTATGGCGGCCTGGATGAATATCTGCTTGAACATGTGAAAGTGATGTTGTTTTTGGTATCTTAATAATAGGGCATCTCAGCTATCGGTCTCCGCCAGTCACGTGACTTTTGTTGCTAAGACGCCATTTTAGGTGGAAAAGGCGTAGTGTAACGCGCCCGAGGTAAACAATTGACGTCACTTGGCGGAGACCGATTAGTGTTAGCTATTATGCTAAAGTTAGCAGATGTATGGAGATATATCTACATTATTGCACTGTGCCATCCAGCTCTCCACACTGTTGCTCCTTTTTTTTTTTACTCATAGATGTTCTGTTGCATTATATAGTTGATGCTAATTAACCATTATATACCGTTAATATAAATATAATATAAATATATAATATGTAAAATGATCTGCCACCTAAAAAGCAACAGAACAAAGAGCTGCTTTCCACATCTAACAGATCAGTGTTGATGGTGCAGACAAATTTGATATATCACATAATCTATAGCTTTATACAATATAAAACATATATTGTGGATATTTATGCTAAATTTGTGCAATTTGTAATTTCTACCAATTTATGTTTCTTCTTTTGGCATGTAAAATATATTTTAAGTGAATTTACAACCAAAATCTGTAATTTATTTATTTATTATTTATTTATTTATTTTTCTATTTGGAGTTGTTTAGATTAAGTTGTTAATTGTTAGACCCTCACATTAATTTGAGTAATCAAGAACCAACATTTTTGACACCTTTTTTAGAGCAAACATTAAATTAACATTAGTTTTTGTTTCTACTAAGTTGCAATTAATTTTTAATAAATATTTTGTCTTTGCTTTTACAATTAATAAGCCAAGTCGGAAGTGCGTACAAAGCCAAAAACCTCCTGTTACCTCAATTCAATTCAATTCAGTTTATTATATAGCGCCAACTTCACAACACATGTCATCTCAAGGCACTTTACAGTTCAACCAGATAGTCAAATTGATTCAAAGTTTTCTATCAAAGGAAAACCAGTTGATTGCATTGACTCAAATACAATCCCTCACACTAAGCATGCTTGTAGCGACAGTGGAGAGGAAAAACTCACTTTTTTCCAACAAAAGCCTCCCACGGCCTTTGTTGGAAATTTTGGTATCTTTTTAAAAAGAAGGCTGCAAAAACATACTATGTACTATATACAATTTTTAATACATAGCTATATACTATATACACAGTAGACTGTGCGTTAATTTACCGCAGGGAGATAGTGGCAGTGTCACAGGGGTCTCTGGGCCTTGTTGATAAGGCTGGTAGCGGAGATCACCGTCCTGGTCAGTTGCATTGTTAGCGTACTTTTTCTCAGATCAACTCTGGTCATAACCTGATGTTATTCTGACCACATTTCCTTCCCTATTAATTTCCTTCAATATTAATCTAGACACACATTGGCACACAGACTTGCAAAAAGCCAATAAAAAGATATTGAAATAATGTAATCTAATCGTCTCTGATTAACCTGTGACCCTTTTTTTTTTTGTATTTCTTTGCAGGATCTGACATGGCCATCTTTTGCCTTCTTTGTGGGAAGCGTTTCCAGACCCAGACAGCACTGCAGCAGCACATGGAGGTGCATGCCGGCGTTCGTAGCTACATCTGCAGCGAATGCAACCGGACGTTCCCCAGCCATACTGCACTCAAACGTCACCTCCGCTCTCACACCGGTCAGTGAATCACTTGGTATCCATCGTCTGATAAGACGCTGACGACTTTAGTGCTTCTTTTTCCCGTCTTGCTGTAATGTTAGCCTTCATTTCAGCCCAAATTCTGAATCATTCGGCTTTTACTATGCAAAATAAGGGTTTTTAACATACCCTGTTTTCCAGAATTGAAACTGAGCAGTTTTTTCGGGGGGGACTTATAAAACTTAAAATATCAAAATATATGTTTATGACTGATTGTTATGATTGTTCTCCAATTAATTCCAGGTATAGGGAAAACAAAACTGCCATAAATGCTGGTTTGGTCCTATTTATAATGCCTTCATGTGGTAGCCCACATGAAAATTAGACATAAACTCCCACTCCACTGAAAAGCTAAGATTATTTATACCAGATTTGCACGGGTGAGGTAAACTTTAACCTTTCAACATGGCGGAGAGCAACAAAACGATTCTGTATAGCGAATATTGCATTGATAAATGTTCTCTCCTGTTGTGATTTTTTGCCTAAATGATAAGAATATATATTTTTTAAATTATTCACCATTTAACATGCATTTGATGCACCTCTTCTTGCTGCAGCAGATGAATTAGGAAGTCTATTACTGTCTTGTCCAAGTAGCAGGTCAGGATAATCTTTCAATCCAACATGTTTCTCTTCTCTACCACAACGAAAGCAATTGAATACAATGCTCTGGTAATTTTCAGGATCATCTTTACCAGACCACATGAATCCAGCATAAGAGTATAGATTGTGGTTTATATTTTCTAGGATGAAGGAAGATGGGTTTCTTTCCCTTTGTCTGACAAGCCTAAATTATAGAGATAACTTTATAATTAATACAACAGGACAGAGAAGGAGGGACCTCGTTATTGTTTCCATCCAGGCACACAAGCCATGTGTAGCATCCTCTGAGCAACGATAGAAAGAAGAGTTGTGGTTTTCCCATACATTTATATATAAATCCGTACATTAAACTTGTAAAAACTGTTTCTTCTCAACTTTGCATTAATGGATTATGTGGTTCTGTTGAGGTCTTTAAGTCACGACCTTCAGCATGTGCTAAAGCGGTTCATAGCAGAGTGTGAATCTTCCAGGATGAGCTTCAGATCCTCTTAGTCTGAGACTTTATTATGCTACACTGCTTGCAATTTTCATGGCAAAGTCTAGACTTCTTTATGGAGAATATTATTTTTCAAGCAGAAACCGTAGCAAAAAAGTACTACTTTATTAAAATAGACTAAACTTTAACCTTTTCTCCAAATCGAACTTTAATTGGAGATGTTTATCCAGTGGAAATCCGCCTCACTTTGTAGTTTCTTTGTTTGTTTTTTGGGTATCAGAATGCCAGACAAATTAAAATTAAATTCGCTTCAGGTTTTTGTGCAAGGACTACAAGGATTCTCATGTTTGAATATAGCCTGCAGTATGATTCCAAAGTACAAAGGCATGTTTTTATTTTAGGAAATTTTTCTCAGTTGAATAAATATCATGAATTCAGGTCAGTGTGGATGCATTCTGCAGCACTCAAGGGGAGGTTATTTACAGCGACTGTTTTGCTTTTTCTTTCCCTTTCCATCAGTCCACTATAATTCACTCAGCGTCGGCTCCCAAGGACAGGACCAGGATTCTAATACATTTTTTCGTAGGAGCAGAGGTAGCCTGACAGATGCGGCTATTCAGAGCAGAGGAGGAGAAAAAAGAAAACACGTCCATGACAGAATATGAACACATGGAAATGAATCCCATTTCAGCAGCGAGGAAAAAGGCCCTCTTTTTCTTCCCTCTTTCTCTCCGTGTCTCACCCAACCGCCTGTCTGTGACCTTAAATAACAGTCTCACTGTCAGAGCCTATTTAGCTCACCGGCTCGCGGATAAATATTTGAAACGAAAGGCAGTGAGATGAGAGCAGTCGGCTCTATTTACAAGTCAGGCAAATACACCATTTGTGTGTGATGGTGGTGGAGGCTGAGGGGATTCGTGGTGGGGCTGTTGGAGCCGCCCCATACAGTAGAGACGCACACACGTGTTCGGTAGAGGACACACGCAGCGTCTCTGATCCACCTGCCCACCCCGGCGATGCAAATGTCATCTTAGCTCGTCGCTGGAGCTGCAGATGAGACTCTACAGCCTTTTTCCACTTTGAACCTCATCCCACTGTGGGCGTGTGCTAAATCTCAATGAGCCAGCCGTAAAAGCAGTTGTTTGATATGATGCAGAGGCTTTTGTCGGGGGATTAAAAAGTCAGTCTCTGACACAGCCATCATATATGCCAAAAATGGATCCTAATATAACCTTTAAATAAAACTAGAGGGCTGTTTCTCTACAATCACTCTTTGATGCTATTAATACCTTAATGATTAATAGTGGAAAAATACTGATTTAGACAAAATACTGAAAAAGCAGGTTTGCCTAGAAGGATGAGTCCTGTGGCTGTTGACATAAAACATGTTCTGTTTAGACTTCTGCAACCGCACACATCTAATGTCGCTTGGGTCTGGTTGCGAACCTGTTTTGCTGGTATGCTTCTGCACCATCGGTCTGGAATTTTCTAGGGACACACAGCAGTTTTCTGCCAAAGTGCAAGGGGGCGCCTATTCGAGAACTCACGAGAACTTCGGCGGATGGTCACGAGAACTTCGGAGGCACGGGCGGGATTGTTTACCTTCCAAAACAACAATGACGCGTCTGCAAGATATCACGGTCACGGAGATGGATCTAGAGTTGCTAGACATCCAAGAGGAACAGGTTCTGTTAATGGAGTTAATGTAGTTTTCCATTATAGTTGATCCTTGGTTTTAAAAATTGCGCACCCCGGCACCGAATCGAGAAGGTCGACCACTCGGACAGGCGGAAAAGCATACCAAGGGCCAATCACAGCTGCTTTTTGTCGGCATATTTCTGCTTGAGGTCTGTGCGGGTCTGCGACCGTCCGATGCATAGTCAGGTTTTTTTTGATGTGCGCGACGACGGTTACAGAACCTTTGCCAGGGGCGTGGTCGTAGCCTCGTGAGACCATCCTGATCTCGCGAGCTTTCAAGGTTTCACTCGCTAATCAGTCTGGAGACTCTCCGTTAAAGAAAATTTGGAGCCGTTCACCAAACGAACGTCCAATCAGCGTTGGCTTTGAGGCGGGTTGAGGTGTGACGCAACGAGAAGCGCGACAGTTCAGTCTAAAGAACGTGGCGGCTTCAGCCGATGAAACTAGCGTTAGCGTGGCTATCGAGCAAGTTTTATCGGAATTACAGAGTATTTCTTCACTGAAAGAAGAGCAAAACACTGCTCTGGAGGCTTTTCTCAGAGGAAAAGATGTTTTTGCTCTTCTCCCGACTGGTTTCGGCAAGAGTTTGATCTATCAATTGGCTCCTCTTCGTCGTCGCTCTGTTAGTACGTCATATGCTTCTTTGATCTGATTGGTTTATTTGGCCCGTCTATCACCAACATAGGCCAATCAGCTAACCAGTATTTTCGCCCCTTCCCAAAATTACTTCAACGGAAGGTTTCCAGATGGAGCAAATCCATCTGGCGGAGTCAGGTTAGCGTGGTCGTGCACCAAGACAGATTTGATGTTTGCAGAGGCTATGCGTCAGAAGCATTGCTTGGTCTTTAGTATTTTTAGAAATGAACCAGAAGTTATTCTAGGTACCTTATTATTGGATCTAGATTATAACAATTAAGAGTTACAACATAAGAGGATATTGGGTCTTTGGCTCAGAATCAGTAGCAATTCTGTTTACAAATGAACTAGAATGGTGGTAAGGTTGCCCTCATCCTCATTTAGGTGATATTCCTTACATTTTCTATAGGTAAAGTTTGCTGAGCAATAAATTGCAATGTTACCAGGTCATTAATTTAAGCACTGGTACCTTTTACAAGCAAGGTCTAAATGGTCTAAAATGCCGACTCTGAACTTGACCAGCCAACAGCATGGCTTCTTTTTCCCCCAAAATCTTCCCTTTATTTGTAATTCTTATTCCATTATGATTATATTTCTTAAACGTATCCATAAAGCTTGACACCTGCATAGTAATTTATTCTCGCATGAGATCACTTGTGTTAGACTTCAGGTACAAAGACATACAGTAAAGCAAATCTCTGCTTTCTATGTGTGTTTTCGTATTTATTTTTTTTTGGTAAAATTGGTCTCAGTTTTGACAAGAATCCTTGTAAATACCAAAATCTCAGTATTCAACCCCTAATTTTAATGGATAAATAGTGGCAGCTCATCTTTGCGTGGAAGCTTTTTAGATGCAGCTCGGTGGTTAGGCGAATCAGTATTCAGTCGTATCAGCTGACAACAGAAAGCACTTTTAGGGACGTTCATTGCGTCTGCTTCATTTTACCTGTCTGCAGCCTTATCTTTTGAAAGCAGTCTTGCAGCCACCGGCTCTGACACTGGATCCCCATTTAAAGACTAGAAGTGGGAAAAAAAACTGATTTAATGGTGTTTATTTCAGCCTCTTAATCTCTCCATCACGGCTGCTCTCCCTTACAGAGTTGCTTATTTCTCCGTCTCCACCTGCAGTTTCATCGCCTCCTCTGGACATACTATCACCACCCTCCTTCCTCTTTATGTAATTCATCTTTATAGCATGTGTACAGTACAGTTTAGAGTCAAGCACTTGTGAACAAACACACAATGCTGGCTCACAGAAGTGTAGACATGGCAGCTGTGCTCTTCCCTTCCCTAAGCTTCACAGACACACAGAGGGCAGACACTCTTTACAGATCAGGCCTTCATTAATATTCTGTTGTTGTGCACTGTCTGTGTGTAAGAGTGTGTGTTTTTTTACATTCTGAGCCAATTTGCTGTCTGCCGTGGCGGGGTTGTTTTGTGTTCGCAGCTGTATTTGATAGCGCTGCAGCCAGACAGAGGGAGAAAGAAAGAGAGAGGGGACTAAAGCCAGTTCTGTCTTGGCAGAAACGTGGCCCGGTAATTTACAGCCTCTTACCATGTATAATGGACACACTCCGTGTGCCCATGGGCACCCTCAGCGGCCCTTTGGGGTGTCAAAAGAGGTGTTTGAGTCAGGGGGGGGAGAAGACGCAGGTGGTGATGCTTGGGGGCACCCCTGGGTTCACATGGCGCGTCCTCGGTTCCACCTCACTGTGCTGGGTCCTCATCTGTGGCGTCCCCCTCCGCCATGCGGTCACACTAGAGAGAAAGAGAAATGAAACAGAAATGGAGTGGAAAGAAACGGGGATGGTGGCAGTTATATCGGACGGACAGACTAGGTGTAACCATCTGAAACGGTGGTGAGAAGATCTTGAGAACATCTAGTCTGTAATTTCACATCATCTCATAAAATCACAGAAACGTGTCTGATTTACATAAAGCTCCATATTATGTCTCTGTACTGTAGCGTTTTCCAAGGGTAGTGAAAGGAGACGGAAACAAGGCTTCACCTTGGCTTATTTTGTCTATTTCAATAAAACGCACGATGCCCTAATGTCACTTTTATTCATGGTGATATCATAATCTAAAACAGAGAATGCATAAAACAACTATAGTTTCCTTATATCTAATAGAGAAATCATGATCTGGTTCTACGGAAGAGGATTAGGGCCACTAAAAAAAAATGAACTGATTTTTTAATTTCATTTCAGTTTAACATGGGAATTCCGAGATTAAAGTCGGAATTCTGACTTTAATCTCAGAATTCTGACTTTTATATCAGAATTCTGACTGAATTCTGACTATAAAAAAAGTCAGAATTCTGAGAAAAAAGTCAGAATTCTGAGATTAAAGTCAGAATTCTGACTTTTTTCCCATACTATACTGAAATAAAAT